GTGCATTGGTGTAGATGCACTTGAGACAGGCTATCGATTTCACCCCCAATGTTGCCATGCTGCCCCCGGGCTCCTCACTAGTGGGCCCATTTATATCCCCTTCCCCCTTCAAACGTAGTTTAAAGCCCTCTCAATGAGTCCCGCCAACTCATGGGCGAGGATCCTTTTCTCCTTTGGAGACAGCTGATCTCCATCAGCCACCAGCAGGCCCGATGCCGTGTAAACCTCCCCATGATCGAAAAATCCAAAATTCCACTGATGGCACCAGCCTCTGAGCCAGCTGTTAATCAGGTGAGTTTTCCCATTCCTTTCAGCACTCTTAACTGCCACCGACGGGATTGAGAAAAACACTACCTGCACTCCCGATCCTGCGACTAATCGCCCCAGTGCCCTGAAGTACCTCTTAATTGCTTTAGGACTTCTCTCTGTACATGCCAGAAATAAAACTAATCAAATGTACATGGGAACTCTACATAAATACAAAATGATCTGTGACCTCATTTATTGCAGCTTCTTATTTTCTCAACATCCACTAGGGAAAACATAGTCTGAGTGGGGGACATGCTGCAAGAAATTACATCAGTGACTCTCTCCAGGTAGTCTTTTCTGCCTCAGCCTCTTCTGAATCATGTGGACAAGAAGTATAATTCAGGGCTAAGAATCCAGACTGCTGTATGGAATGCAATTGTAAAAAATGAATGTCCTGCCCATTGCACTGTAAGCTTTATTTGCACATATTGCAAGTTAAACAAGCTTTATAAAGAAAACATATCCTACCGCTGCACAGACTTAATGCTAACTGCACTATATTTATCATGAAATATGTCTATTTCTTCACTTAAAAAACACATATATACACACACACAGAGTTATTTTTTTGTATGTATATAGAAGAAAACTACCTATAAATACAATGGAAAAATACATTCAAAAGCTTTTTATAAAACTTGCTGCAGTATTATTTTGACTGTAATAAAAATATTTATGAGAGAAAGACAGACACACAGAGAAACACACATACCTAATGTCTAGTGCTTGTCTAAATCCTGAAAAAAATCCCTGGCCTTTGGTGTTGCTAAACAGAGTTAGTTGCAAGTGTCTAAAGCAGCTACAGTCTCAGCTTACAGCCTCTGCTCCACCCTCTCTGACCGTGTATGCTTACCACCATTTTGCACAGGCTTTGCTGTCTGCAAGTTTCCACAATAGTTTACAACCAGGCAGGGAAACAAAACCAGCTAAACATGTAGTGTCTTTCTCCAAGGGCTCAATCCTACCTTTATTAAATTCAATGGAAAATATTCTACTGCCTTTATTTGGACTGAATGTTATACAAAATATTTAAATTGATTTGCTGTCAAAGTGATGGCCACCCAGCAGTAAAAAATAATGCTAACCATGGAGCAAACCATGGCAGTCCCTCCCTCATCCAGTTGGGATAAGGCATGTCCAGCAGCTAGGAAATCTAGCCAGCAACTGTGTGCAACTAAACCCTGAGCACACATTACAAGTTGCCTGGGAGGTTTTCCATCCAGCGTGTGAAATGCGGTGTGCTGTGGCAGCTTCAATATCAAAATTTAGATTGGACTTTGCCTCAGTGGGAGCTGAAACAAATCCTAGCAGGGGTTGCAGATACATCGATCCCATAAGCCCAGCATGACACCCAGGAACATCCCTGTTTCTACAGCAGTTGTGGTTCATAACGGAGCACAACAGAATTTTGCTGTATAAACCTTGAATGCACAACATCCAACTGCATTTATCATCCAATCAACATTTCAAACTAATTCCCCTGTTCTAACAATTTAAAGGTTAAGTGGCAAAGCCCAGGCATATAAAAACTTATATGGGAACATGCATTGTGTTATATTCTGATTATACAAATGGCTGACAGATAAATTAATTGCAAGAATCACAGAATCACTCATGCTGGAAGGGACCTCAGGAGGTCTCTAGTCCAGCCTCCTGCTCAAAGCAGGGTAAACACTGAATTCAGATTGGGTTGCTTGAGGCTCTGTCTGGTCCTGTCTTGAAAACCTGCAAGGAAGGATATTGCAGAACCTGTCTGGGATCCCGCTTCACTGGGGGAACACTTTTTTCCTTTTGTCAGGTTGGCACCTTTCCTGTTCCAATTTATGACCCCTCCTTCCTCTGCAGCTCCATAAAGTGCTTGGCTCTGTCTTCTCAATAACCTCCCTGTAGGCAATGGCAGGCTGCTGTAAGGTCTCTGCAAAGCTTTCCCTCCTTCAGGCTGAACAAGTCCAGGTCCCTCAGCCTTTCCTCACACGGCACGCACTCCAGCCTCCTATCTTAGCTGTTTGCTGGACTCCCTTGCTCAGGTTGTTTGACGGTTCTGGTTAGCAATTTGTTTACTTGTACCAAATTAGGTGAAGATAAAGCTTGAAAAATTGGGCTACAAGTCACAATTGTATTTTCATATTGTTTTTGAGAGGAGCTTGGAATTTCTTGCCTTTCTAAACTGTATTAGTAGCCATTAGAGAGAAGGGAAGGTGATGGAAAGAAAATAGAATATTTAAACTGATTTGTGAATAGATTTCCTTACAAGAGGAAAAAAATCAAGTTTTTGCTCTTTTATTCTCCCCTCCTATATGAGTAGAACTCAGAATAATTATGTTAATAAGATGTCTGATGAAATATGATTGGAAATGCTAGTTCACATCTAGTGATAGCAACTGGTACATTGAAATGAGTGGGAATTTTAGCACTGATATGAACAGATGTAGCATTTCAGCAAAATATCAGTGAAAATCTGAAAATATATTTGAAGGAGAAATATGATTCTGTATATGAGGTAAATGCTTTTTGTCCATCTATTTTATCTTCACACTACATAAAAGCAAAACATTTTAAGAAAGGGACACAGCTCTTTGAAGCAGTAAGGGAAATACATACCACAGTCTGCTTCTCCAGGGAACTTCTATCATGTATATAACTTGTTTCCTATTGGATTTTCATTTGACCTGTTAGACCCTGTCTCACATATTCAATCTGGTGCAAAACTAGACTGACAGAGAGGCAGCTTCCATAATGGTACCCTTTTAGCTGCAGCATCAGATCAAATCAACCTTTCAGTAAAAGTCTCTTTTCTACACACTTCTGGGTCAATGCAATACTGGCCATTATAGGAAAAAGTGAAAGACAAGGCAGACTTAAGATCAAATGAAAAACAAATGCCTATAGTGTCAGCTGTTGACAAATGCCACAGAGTTACTGGCTTCCAATACTCATCCTCTCCATTCAAAATAGAGACATATGGTAACCTTGTTAATATAAAAATATTAGCTAGTGATATTTCCAATGGCAAAACCGTACATCCAATCCATAGTGTCTGAAAATGTTCATAGAGATATTGTGTATCAAAAAACCTTCAGGTTACATCTGTTGACCAAATGCATGCCCTTGTTATAAAGAGATGCACGCTGATTTTGGTGCATTAGCCAAACAAGTTCTGGTTGCTGTACTGTCTTCTATCTTTCAAGGAATATTGTTTTTATCACAAACCTTGTGTAATTTGATTTTAAGCAAGAAACAAGAGAGCTGATTTAGAACTGATGCCTATGAGTCTCTATAAATGTCCTGGAAGAAAAAAGTGTCAGAAGTCCTTGTCCCAGCCCGAAAGTTCATCTGGAGGGGTTCCCTCTTCAGGTGGATAGCTGTCAAAGTAGCTGTAATCAGTTGGTCCAGACAACTAGGGCATTAAAAAAACAAACAAACATTTGTTTCAGAAGGTAACTTTTGAAAATGCTCTCCATTGATTATGCATGATTTTTATTGCTGCCAGTGGAGGAATAAAAGGCTAGCATGATATAAATGACTTCTTTCAATGGATGCAATTTCTCATTCTTTAAAAGATAAACCTGCAGTAATTAAATTATGCAACAGAACAATGGCATTAGCCTCCTTATACAAAACCACCCCCCAAATACTATCAAATCCTAGATTTCACCCAAAGTTTTATAACGTCAGTAAGAAAACTGGGCCACACTGTGTACAGCTTTGACTCAAGTTTGTTCAAGACCAAATCTACACTCATGGGGTAGCTACTCAAAGCAGATCTCAGAATTATTTTTTGTTTCAAACTGAATTCAAAGTGAGTTTCAAATTCTTTACCCTCAATCTTTTTTCATTTTAGGGGAAAGAGAAATGGGCCATTTAAAACAGGAAGCTTATTCAAGGATGTGCTGTAACTCAATAGTAAGAGAATACAGGAATTTGTACTTCCATTGTATGTGCCCATTACTGAGGAAAATATGTTTTTTCAGTATTTGTTTCTGACCAAACACCATTTATTCCAGTAATGGTGAAAACTTAATGCAAAGTACACAGGCAGAATAATATTTCCATTATTTAACTGAATTTAAGTTCTGGATTGCTTGCTGTCTCTCTTTCTTTCATTCAATTTTCACTAAAAATGGTGAGCTATAACAATTCAAATACATCTTTGGGCAGTTTTGCTCTCGCCATCAGTTATTTCTTTGTAGCCAAGCACCTTTGTATTAGTAAAGTATTATGATATTGAAAGCTAAAGCCAATACCTCTCTTTTTAAAGGCGATGTTAATTTCCTCACTTTCAGACCATCCCAGTTAAAACCACTCAACCACCTGATTAAAAAGAAATGAGAGACAGACAGGGAGAGACCACGACAGAAGGACAGATCATTTTCTGTCATTATACTATTAACAGCTGAAAAACATGTGAACAAGGGCTATAAGACATTTTTTCATGACAACTTCTGTCCATGTGACAACACAGTTGTTAGAAGGAGGCAACTTGAGCACTGTCATTGCCATACAAGGGAGTGGTAGCAGGGGGAGCTTCAGGACCACCAGATATACATTGCATCTCCTCTGTACAGAAGTGCTAAAGCGACAGGCAGGTTAATATATGCATAAGCACAGCCATGCAAAGACGTATGCATCCCCTTGGAATTCCACCCTCTTTTAACAGCATGAGAAGAGGGAGACAAGCAGAAAAGCCAAAGCACTTCTTTTCCCAAGCACAAACTGCAGGGCTTAGAAACAACTCAGATAGAAAGAAAAAGCAGGAAATGTTTAATCCACAGAGGACTTCCTTCATTAGAAGGAAAAAGACAAAAACCTAATATTGCTCCAGAGCTCTTAACTACCATTCTTAAAAAGCAACTGTTTAAGGGTTGAGAGGTCTGAAAGGCAGATGCTGAACTGGCATTGATTTCTCTGAGAACTGAATTAAACTCTACATCAGCAACCTGCGACAAAACTAGTGAACAACAAAATGTTTCTAGATAATCATGGTGAGGATTTATGCTTATATCGTTGCTTGCTGTAGCTGCAAATATACTCAATAGCAACAGAGATCTCTTACACAATCTTCCTGGAAGTGCCTGGAGCTTTATGGGTTTACCAGACTGGGTTCTAAAATATTAAAAATATATTCAAATTAAAAACCAAATTTTCTTCTTGGCAGTCTCTTTCACTTACCTGTGTTTCTTGATGTCATTAATTCCATTCCTCAGATTGCCTAACCTTTCTGTAGGGTTTTGCCTTAAAAAAAGAGAAAAAGAATAAGGATAAGAAATGAAAAAAATTCTTACTTTTTTAAAAGAGCATTTATAGGTCCTAACTGCTTGCATTTAACAGTTACACAGGGATGGAGCTTGCATACAACATGTGGTCTCATAAGGAGACATAATGAAGTATTGCTCACTGCTCCTTTCTTTTGAGGATGGAGAAACCTTCCAGGAAGCCAAAATAGAATCATAGAATTGTGTAGATTGGAAAACACCTTTAAGATCATCCAGTTCAACCATTAAGTTGACATTACCAAGTCCACACTAAACCAATTAAGGGCAGAGTAACAATTTCATGTTTCCTGCCTTGGTGGCTGGATTATTTATAATGAAAGTAAAAAAATCATTATGATTGGAAAGGACCTCTAAGATCATCAGTCCAATCATCAACCCAACACCACCATGCCCACTAAACCATGTCCCAGAGTGCCATGTCTACCCGTTTTTTGAACACTTCCAGGGATGGTGACTCCACCACCTCTCTGGGCAGCCTCTTCCAATGCTTGACTACCCTTTCCGTGAAGGAATTTTTCCTAATATCCAATTTAAACCTCCCCTGACGCAGCTTGAGCCCATTTCCTCTCATCCTATCACTAACTACTTGGGAGAAGAGCCCAACACCCACCTCGCTACAACCTCAGTGTCACCCTGCTGTGAGAAGCAGCAGAAGGAAATCAACTGGTTGAATTGAATTGAACACCTTTTTTTTTCTTGGCCAGCAGGTCTGGCCAAGAGTTACAAAAAGAGGCAGACCAAAATTTGCAGCTACAAAGATCCTTTCAATCCTGCTGCACAAACATGGTGTGTACTGTTCTTAGTGCCATGGATGAAATCCCACTGGACCTGCAAGTTGAAAGTCAGCAGTGTCACCAGCCACAGGTTGTGCATGCCACTATGTGCTAATGCTTCTGAGTTATGCTGGCCCTTTTGAAATACCACCTTTTTGCACATTTCCAAGTGGGCTTAGCTCAGTCTTTAAGTGCCCTACCCTTTCTGTAGGAGCTATATGCCTAAGTAATTTTGGAAGCATTTTTTTAAAACACTGCACTTGATAATAAAATTAAATTCTTTAGCTCTTTCCTCAGCCCACACTTAATAAGTTTTCCCTAAGATGTGTTTCAGAAAAAATTCACAGCTACAGAGAAGGCCCAGAGCCTGCATTTGTAGATGATACCTCTGCAGACTGAGGTGTGACACACACTCACAGTCACATGTGTACTGAATATAATCAGAATAGACCATGCTAGGCATAACAATTTTAAATGAAGTTGTCAGGAATTCCACACTGCAGTCTGGATCTTAAATAGCTCAATCTATCTACACCTGGGCTCTGCCACAAACTGCCCCTCCTACCTGCAGAGTCTACGGATCAAATCCTCAGGCCTCCTTGTTATTATTTTAGGAAAATCCAGCTTTTCAATGCCTTTGAGAATCAAATTATATGTCATCATTTGATCAGCCCCAGAGAATGGTGGACTAGAAAAAGAAAGCAACACTGATAAATCGAATGGCTGGCAAGAGCAGATGTGGCCATTTCTGATCAAAGCAAGTATTTGAGAATATGGAAAAAACCCCTACCTTCCTAGTTTTACAACCTTCAGTCTTTCAGTCTGTTTAAGATATTAGAAAGGTTTGAAGCTGAGAAGCTGCCTGTAGGTGCCAGGGAAAACGCATGATCATATGTGTCCCTCTAAGCTAGCTCTGCCTCCAGCCTAACTCAGAGAAGCTTCCATGTTGTACTATCATTGAGCATTCACAAAGAGTTGTCACGGAAGCGTGCATGGAGGCAAAGAACAAGCCCTGCTTACAGTTCACCCACCCTGCTGTACCACGCCACCCACTAAAGGGGAAAAGTCTGTTGTCAGCTGTGCCTCACAGGAAACATCATCATCAGTTAAAGGAGCTCTACACCAGCCACTTATAGCTGGTGTCTGGCCCTCTCCTTGGATGGATAAACCAGAAATGAGAATATGTTCCACACTTTATCCATGGCATCTCTGAGATGATGGAAGATAAGACATGCATAAGAGGCAAAAAGAAGTATCATTTTGCAAGTCACTCCTGTTTACTGATGGGGAAAAAACCCAAACTGTTTATTTTAAAAATAATCTTGCAAACTTTTCTAAAAACAAACAAGCAAGGTAAGAACTTGGAGTAGGAGGCACTTACCTGCCAGTAAGGAGTTCATACACAAGAATCCCAAGGGACCAAAAATCCACACTGAAGTCATGGCCTTTACTCAGAATGACTTCAGGGGCAACATATTCAGGGGTTCCACAAAACGTCCAGGTTTTCTGCCCTGATCCGATCTTCTTTGCAAATCCAAAATCAACCTGATCAAAATCAACATATGCTGCATAATGCAGAGGTGTTTTGCACTGGGAAGCCTTAAGGTCTTAATTGCTTCCTCACCTCCTGCAAAGATCTCAGAGTTGGCAGTTTACAGCTAAAACAATTACACAGCATTGTTGTGAAGGAGAAGGATTACCAAATGTTATAGAACAGATCCATTTATTCTCACGAGTGATTTCCTGAATTATTTTCCTTTTGCATAGAACAACCCATGCTTTCCTTGAAGACATCAGATTTACAGCCCATGGAAAATGGTGGGTTGCTCATTGTCCTCAGCGTGTATGTTTCAAGCTCTTTGAAGGGTATTCTCTTTGCACTTTTCATGGTCAGTCAAGTATGGCAGGAGCTCCTTACTGTATTCCATCTCTACAGACATAATCTAGAACCTATGATTGCTTGACAGGGAGGTAATTCTGTGCCTGGGAAATGTAGTTCCTGCCTTTACATTAAGATTGGCTGCTAGGATAAATTATTTTTGCTGTTTATGCTGTGGCAAGAGCTCTCAGAGGCTGCAAATCCCCAGTTTGTCTGTGGCTTGCAATGGCTTTGCAATGCCTTTGTTTCTCACTGTGGAACGAGTAGCCTGCCCTCTTTTCTACTGAAGCATAAGGGTTATTAAACTCTGGGATCCTGTACTGTAATTACATGCTGTCTATTTATATCCCCCCCGAAAGGAAATGGGATACAGGCAAAAAAGGATAGCATTACAAAAGGATTACATCTTACCAGTTTTATATATCCTTCAGTATCCAAAATTAAATTTTCTGGCTTCAGGTCTCTGTAGATAATTCCTATGTGATGTAGATAGTCAAAAGCCTCTGTCACACACCCAACACAGAACTTGGTAGTGGCTTCGTCAAAGCTGCCTCTGGAACAAAAATAATCACGATCCTCACAGACAATTAAGTTCTAAAAATGCCTTGCTCATTAACCAGATAACATATAATTCCCAGAATATTAACAGCTTTTTTGCACTGACATTCAGTACATCACTCATGTGGTTGACAACTGAACCAAATGTCTTTTCATTGGACAGCTCTTGAATAGAGAACCTGCCCAGCAGACATACTGAGCTGATTGGTGATTTTAAAGGGCAAGGTTCCACTTTGTTTCTGTTACCTGTCTCTCAGCAAGCTCCACAATTCCCCTCCCAGGCAAGCCTCCAGTAGCATGTATACATACTTACTGTCTTTGAATGTGCGATATAGTCTGTGGAGACAAACAGCAGCAATTTAGGAAAAGCAAAATAAAATGCGAGACTTGCAATATCTTTCCTCCAGAACGCATATATGCCAAACCTCATTCTTAATAATGCTGTCCAGTGGGTCAACTGGGGGTCAACTTTCAAGGAAATCTTATGGTCAACTTACTTTACAATGAATGGAGAACATATCTGCTCGAGAATTTTCTTCTCAGAATGGATATGCTCTTGCTGTTTGGTGTCCACTACATGTTTCTTCTTTATACACTTCATAGCGAAAGCCATGTTCTCATTTTTCACTTTAACCTGTCAATAAAAATGATTAATACATGTGAGTCAAAGAAAGGATGTTTAACCTATCTGTTCTCAATATGCACACTGATTTCCATCTTTTTCAACACAGCACAGGACTGAAATTGGTGACTGTAATGAGGGACAAATTCCAGATTTTCTGCAGAACTGTTCTGTATGATTTTAAGTGAAGCATCATATCTTTTTAGTGTCCCAGTCCCCACTTGTAAAATGAAATGTTCCCTGTGTTCATTTTCTGTATACAAAATAGCAGCAGTTTGGATAGGTGCTATATTTTACAATGAGTTTATACCACAATGGATCCTAATTTCAATTTAAGATTTCTGAACACTAGCATAATAGAAAAGAACAAAAAGCAGAGGCAGTTTATGAAGAATATTTACAAGTGACTTTGCATTACACTGAAATATTATGCAGTATGCAATAAAAAGATGGAAGTTAAAACAGGGCTTCCAGGAAACCAAGGAAGCAACTATCCGTGTTCTACAGCTGGCTGAGAATTCAATTTTTAGCTTATTATTCAGGTGATGTCGTAGATTTGCAAGCTGGCAGTCAACCAGTGTGGAAATTGATTTGTCAAGCATGAATCAGAATAAAACAGTTGATGGTCTAACTATTGTAAAAGATTACTGACTTCACTAAAATCACATAGTCTCCTTTAATTTACCATTACCTTCAGCAGCTTGCACAAGAAGTGTTCACATTTTTTTCAGATGTTTGCTACTCAGCCAGAGGAGAGTGGAATTTAAGACTTTAATGAGGCTCTTCACATCCCAGAAACACAGCTGTTCATGCTACTGAATATGTCTTAAAAGAGCCATTATAAATTGTTGGAAATTTCAAAGTCAACACAGCTCAGAGCTAGATCACACTGGTTATAGTTGCCGTGGGGCATACCAAAGCAATTCTAACAACACAGACTTTGTGATGCTGGAGATTACTTCACGTCCAGGCAGAATCTTGGGAAAAGGCCTGCAATTGAGGGAACTCAATGCAGGTAGGCACATCTGTAAACTCCACATGCACAAACTGATGAATATATGTATAGTGACCAGGAAGATACTTTTAACAGCAAGAGATGAAGGCACACAAGAATGGATTTGTTTCTTTGATCATCGAAGTCCTGAAAATATTTTTTAACTATGCATTGCTTTATATAGAATTACCTCTGCCAGAGAGGCACAAACATGCAGAATATTAAAATTCTTCACATTTTTCAATGGTTAAATCAATCATCTAAGACAGAGAACTACTTGAATATGTTTAAAACAAACTCTTACAAGCTCAACCCTTCCGAACCCACCAACACCCAGAGTTGTGACAACTTCTAAATTCTGGAATGGGGAAGGAGGGAATTGGGCTACTTTCTCCTTCAGCTCTATCATCTCCAAAGACACCTCTTTGGTCAACTGTCCACAGAAGGATCTTCCTCTGCATTAAGAAAATTAACATAGGTTAGTGTTTTCCTTGCCAGCAACCTGTATCACAGTACTTTAATACTCCTATTAAAAAAAAAAAAAAAAGAAAAGCCTTCTTATTTCCTAACAGAATCTTAATTTTATTTTATACAGAAGCACTTTATTTCTGGACATCCTATGGAAGTGAATTAGAAGTGAACTGCTACTGCAGTTCACTGAGTACAATCAATTGTATTTTTATCAAGAGCTGATCCATGGTGAGGTTCCTAATTATGCAGTCAGCTGCAAAGCTTTGGGCACTCCAATTTCTGAAGGACTGTATACCAGTTCCAGTAGAATGATCAGAAATAAAAATGCAGCTATATTTCTAAACAGAAGAAAAGCATACTCTGCTAATCTTCCAATAGTGCTCAGGTTGAAATCAGAGGCAGATAAACTAGAAGTGTGGTCCACAGCTAAAAGCAAACTCTTTAATAGCACCAGTGCTACATGGAAACATTAAAAATTAACTGTTTCTTTTATGTCTGCTTATTTTTATTTGAAATGGCAACTAGTCTTTTGTACAGTAATACAGTTTCATTAACTCAATCGGGAGTTAAAGTTGTCCTTTAGGGGGTTTACTCAAAAAATTATTTGAGCACATTTTCACCTCTTTTCTCTGCTGAGTTTTCTTGGGATAGAGTGAATTTTTGGTTGGAAGTCAATATACTGAGATTCTATGTAATTTTTTTTTTTTCCGAAAAAATTTCTTGGACTTCGTAAGTGTATCCAGACAGTTTTATTATAGTGATTGCTATCATTTCTAGGGCCCCATCTCCATCAACTACCATCCATGATTTTACTTACATATCTATCACTCTTTTTTATGATTACCTACTAAAGATGTGCCTAACAAATGATCTGACTTACTTCGCATGTCGCTTTTCATCAGCCTGGGCCAGATTAGCCACATAACCTTCAAGGTAAGTTTGGAGCTCCTCATAAGTTCCAACGGTTTGATTAAATGTCCTAAAAACATGAATGAAACCCTATAAACTACTGAACATACAGTGGAAAGAGAAAGAAACCAGAATTATATATTTTATATTGCCTCTGAGTCATGACCCAGACTGAGCTTTACACTATCACTTTGACAGTACGAATTTTAAAGAACTTTGAAGAGGTGGTAACCAGCTGAAGTACCAAACTTGGTTTGCCACAGGGTAGGGGGACAGAGTGCCTGATCTCCTCAGGTCATTTCATGTTACGTTTAAATAATTCAGAGCAGGCTGAGTGTACCTTGCCTCCTACACGCACTAACTAAGGGTGGTTCCACCATCCCTACCATAGGAACCAGCTTGGCATGAGTCCAGCCTATCAATCCTTCTGTCCCAATGGATAGAGCCCTTGGTATGCAGTGCCAAAGCAATTGAGATCACCTCTCCTACTTCACAGGTGAGTAACAGCACTGTGGGAAGAATAGACTATTTCAGTTGGAAGGGACCTACAACAATCACCTAGTTCAACTGCATGACCAGTTCAGGGCTAACCAAGTTGAAGTATGTTATTAAGGGCATTATCCAAATGTCTCTTAAACACTGACAGGCCTGGGGCATCGACCACTCCTCTAGGAAGCCTGTTCCAGTGTTTGACCACTCTCTTGGTA